TTAAGGCAGAGGCAGCCATGCTGATCCAAGTCTCATCCACATTGATCCCGATTAGTACACTTTTATTAAAATTTATTTTGAGGCCCGACATAATTTCAAACCATCTCAGGGCATACTTGATGGCCAAGATGGAATTGATAGAGGCCTCACAAATTAGAGCAGTGTCATCAGCAAACTGGAGGTGAGAAATAGAAGTTTTATCATCAATCACCACTCCCTTAAAGACATCAGCAAAGAATTATGGTAAATTAAATTAACCCATTTCTTACATTAAAAACATGGATCACATGTAGTATATTTATGTTTTTTTTTCCTACAATTAGCTGCTTGGTATTAATAGAAATTTGAACTCTGAACCTTCACTAAATCAAGGCTTTTCAATTCTTTGGTCGTACCAATTCACCTAGATTTTTATTGATGGTATTTAGACTTATTTGCAACGAATTGTTCAAGTGCTTAACTACTATTCTTATAGTTGAGAAGCATAAAATTCACCACAATGCAAGTGTGAGGACTAAAACATTGATTTAGGTTTATATCGTTTTGCATTTACAAATCCAATATCTAATTATTTTACCGAATTATATCCGTTTGGTTCAGAAACAAAATTTTGGTGCACTTGGAACTTGTTGCAGTGCCTTTTTTTAAACAATCACGGTATGTTTAAAAATTAGCTATACGGGCGCACAATATTTTAAAATTTTAATTTTCCAATATTAAAATAATTATTGATCATAGTACAATATAAAAACAAAAATATTATAATAATAATATTACGTGGTATTATAAATTTAAAACATAATATATTATTATAAAATTGACTCTTTCCATTTAAAACTTATTTAATGTCATATTATAATTATTTAATAATACATAATAATTATAAATTTATAATTTTACATAAAATTATAATTACAACATTTTTCTGATATAAAAACAATCACAGCGCTATAGCATTATACAACAATCCCAAAATAGAGGCTATTTGGTTCGGTTTTACCCCTTTAGGTTTGTTTGAATTGAATCATTTACAGTCGGTCCAAAAAATCCATTGTCCAGCTAAACATGTAAACAGGTTGCCTTGCGTCCCAAGTTTCTTTACTTTCCTTCTTTGAGACAAATTCTGATTCTGTCCAAAATCCGAAGTTAAAGCATCAAATATTATGTCAAATAATCGAAAATACTTACATGACATTATAAGTGTACAACACGATATATTATTATATAATTAATTTTTTTATTTAAAATTTCATTCGTGATATTATATATATTTTATTAAATGTTATATAAAGTTATAAATTTATAATTATATGTAGTATTATAATTATAACATTACCATTCTCAAACACCAAACCTAAATCTATTGCCTCAAATCCAAAAATAAAAAATACAGGACAAAGAGACTAAGGAGGGAGGGAGATGATGCTACCACTGGCGAGGCTGGGAGCCCTTGCACTGAGAACCTTATGCAAACCCATCGCTAATCGCCTCAAAGTTGAGGCTGGTTTGCATCCTCGGTTTCGTCAGTTCATCATCAACATTGCCCAGGTTCTCTTCGCTTACCTTCCATCTGTTGTGATTCCCAATTTTCGTTTAATGGTATATGGCTTTGCGGTTGCTTTGAATGAGTTTTGTTGCTTTGCTTTGTATTGCATTTTTCTAATCGTATCTGATTTTGGTTTCATATTGAATTGGGTCCTTTTCAATGATTACTTTCTTACTTTCTGAGCTGCTTTTCTGGATGATGCATTATAATTTTTTGGTTAAAACCCCTTTTTGGTCCCTCAACTATTGTACGGACCC